CACCTAATAGGTGGGCCACTTTTGCCTTTTGAAAGGATAGACAATTTTACATCCATACCGAGATACATTCTCCGAGATTCGATCCTGGGGCCTTCGATATCGCAGTCAGGATTCCCTAACCACTATACCGTCTGGGCGGCTTTCAACTGTACTACCCATAAAGACAACACCACCGGGGCTGATGGGTAAAAGCGAACGGTACAGTAAACCACGCATTTTGCTTCACTGGCGGCACTGGAAAACTGGCGAAGACAAATATTGCAATGTGACCAATCCTGTGTTACATTGCGGTTTTCCCTTAAACAAGTACTCCATCTCTAAGACATTCAACCCTCGCTTAAATGCACAATAACTGATTTGCATTCTGTGAAGGACTACGGAAAGGAGAAATTCCAGTAAAGGTTTAACTTATTAGAACATGTTAACTAACATAAAATCTTACATCGCGATGGACTTTTCCTATTGTTCTCAGTCCTTTTCGAATAACACTCGCCATTATCATTATGGTTAGTAAAATTTTCAAAACGAATTAGCCATTTTAAGATGGAAAGAAAGGCTGTCAAGTTAAGGACCATTCCCTTTCATCTTTCTTTTACAGATTGTGACGTAGAAAACATGACAGTTCAGCAAAAAGAACCCCATTTGTCTAACTTTCCTAGTTTGATTTCGGTTTTTCCTTAAATGATACAGTTTGTTTCTAGAACGCTTAATGTTTTATAATTAATTAGCGAATAAAATTTTAAATTACGAAAAACGTGTACAAAACTTAACATAAATGCAAACCATTCTGCTCGATTTTGCATATTTATTTAAATAAAATTTAACTAACTTATAAAGTCTAGTTCTTTCTGTGAACAAAGTGATTCAGACTTTTAAAGTTTTCGACGCAAAATGCGAAAACGAAATTAATAGCCTTTCTGGGCTAAGGTCCTTTGGGCTAATAATTAGAAAGGTAAAAAATTTGGCAGTGCGTGTTAATAACTTGTTTTTTTGAATAAGTATCATTTAAAAAAAAAGAAAGAAAGAAAGAAAGGGGAATGGAAAAAGAAGAGAGAAAGAAAGTTCTCGCTTAACGAAGTTTTATTACTATTATTATTATTATTCGGGTCCCTTGGAAAACTTCTTAAGCAGGTTCTGTTGTAGTTACGGTCTTCTATTTTATTCTATATTCGAGTTCTGCAATATGCCTAAATCTACATCTTTCGGGTAATTGCGATTCCAATAAAGGAAAAAGAAACGTCGAGTGACATTATGCAAGGAATGTAAAGGTTAATTGAGACGGCGTATTTCTGTTCTCATTTGGGAAGTGCGAACACAGGTGTTCATTTCCATAGCATCCAACGCAGAAGTCATCAAAACTATTAAGCCCCTATAATTAACTATTTTTCAAGAGGTGTGCCTGCATGACAAAGTATCGTAAACCCGCCTGAACAGAAAATTCAGCCTTCATTAAGGTAAGTTATATACGCCTGCTGAAACACAAAAAGTTTATTTTATCACTAAAACATGCAGGTAAGCACAGCTAATACTACAAATACACAGACAGCGGAGAATCTTAAGTAAAACTAGTTCATAATGACATTTATAGAACCAATCCTCGTAAAACGCGGCAATTACGCTTTTCAAACTTCGTGATATGCTAACCATATTCTATAGACAAAAAAAAAGTGTTCTGGATATTAAAATGACCAGGATTCACTGGAGCTAACTAGTCTATAAAGACTAGTCTATAAAGACTAGTTACAGAAAAGCTTTGCACACTTCGACGGATATCCGAACCGATCCCTCTTCTTCGTGGAGCAAAAACTTGGAAAAAAGAAATTATTCACTTTTACTTCGCGAAGGAGGTGGATTGTTTTAGCATCTTAAATCACGTTCTGCTAAGCTCACCGATGGCTAAACGGCTAAAACCACTGAACACTAGTAGTTCGACTTGGCAACCCAGCTGGCTGCATGGGTGTTTTCCTGAAGCGAATACTCCCTCAACCGACTTTTAAAGTCCAAGACAAGGATATACCTCCCTTTAGACGAATAGTCTTCGTGTGCTTTGCCGCATTCTAATAATCTCGTTTAACTTAATTAATTATTTTGGTTAAATGAAATGCATATACACGATCATGGTTGCCACTTACAGAAATGGTGTTTGTAAATTTTAGCAAAATATTGTTACGTTCTACGGGTTTATGGATTTGGAGTGCTTGATGTGAATCGAAACACTTGATGAAGAATCAAAATTATTCGTCAGTATTTCACAATTTGGAGAGTTCCAAAGACACGTTACAGTCGTCGAAAAACGACGTTAAACACGCTGAAATAAACAGGAACACAGCCTTCAGGCTATAACAGGGAAGACAGCTTCACGGCGAAGCAGCAAAGTACAGCTCCCGATTCGGTCGATCGCTCTCAAGCTAATCTCTGAACTCAACATACTTTCTACTCCACGTACAAGCAGGGTATATATATACATATAGCTTTAGACTTGCCTTCGAGAACATTCCCGGGAAAACCGCTAAGAATTCGTTCTCGAAGGTTCTCCATTCGTCTATGACACATCGCCAATTTTGTTGCTAAATGGGCAAATTCGCACCAAATCTGGCAACCCTAAACCCGCTTTGCGGGAAGCTATCTTACCCGTTTCGTAACAATATGGAATATAGTCAAAACACAAAGCAAAATTCCCAAGGATTGTAAAGCATTGGTACAATATCCACCGCTTATCCGATAATTTTGTAAACAAAGTATAACAAAAAACTATCAAAATACAAATCCAGTTTACTTTTATGTTGCAAATATATTTTGGTCATGGGAAAATTCAGAAATTAGTCATTCTGAACAAATTTATGTGAATAAAACTATTACTTGTTCCTTTTTTAAGTCCATATAGATCTCATTTCGAACTAGACTAAAAATACTTAATCAATTTTCGAAATGAAAAATATTCCTTCCTCACTGGCACAGATATTTCCTAGCGGGACTCTCTCTAGTAATTCGGGCATAATTTCCTCAGTATTCATTATGTTTCAGTAGAATCTATACTAAATTTTATGGCATTACCATTACACTCCTTTCTTTTCAACTTTTTCAATGCTTTCTGAGCATTCGCCAGTTTATTGCATTGGTAAGGGTGTGTGTGAAGAATTTTACTACATAAATAATAGAGAAGCAATCGATATTCGGCATATTATCAACATATATTGAAAAATAGAATAACATAGTAAAAAAAATACAAATGCATTGATGGCAAATGTGAAGGAAAGAAGGGGCTGGTCCAATTTCATTCATAAGTAAATATCATGTTTTCATGCACTGAAAAACGAAATGACCTGTCTAAAATAATGTTAGTAAATTATCGCAAATGAACAATAAAATATTTACTCACCCCCCCCAAAAAAAAAGATGCGTTAGCACTTGGCTATTAGTCTTGAACCGGCATTTTGTGTAGAATCACTTTAAACGGATGTATCATATTTCAGATTGTTGACATCAAATATTATCGCCCTGTATTATATTTAAAGAAATTAAGTAATGAAGAATCTGAATGAAAGTACGTATTAAAAATACCTACAACCATCGAATTCTGAATAACGTAGTTCTCCACCCGAATATGGATATTTGGAAGCTCAAATCTTAAATTTGGAATTTGTTTTATTATCAATTTCACATTTTTTTTTAATTTAACGAATTTTTGATTAACAAACTCAACGACTTCAAAGCGAGCAGTGGCAACACAATGTGCGGAATAAAATACTTTTAGCTCCAGCGTGCGAAACTGTTTGCCGGAAAATCTAAAAATATGGTGTTTTTAAATATTTTTAGTCCAAAGACTCTCGAAATGTGTAAGTGAAAAAAACGCCCCTTTGGAAGTAATACAAAATCTAAAAGCTTTTTTAGATTTTTTTTGTGGGGGGGGGGAGGTGCTTCAGACTTTTGGTTGTGTGAAATATCCGAACTTTAGTCTCTCGTGCTAGAGATCATAGAAGACGCGTGCATCTTACAACTAGGTGTACGCAAAAATAACATATGCAATTAATTTTAAGAATTTTTTTTTAATGTAAAATTCACTAAATTCGTACAGAATATGGAATTAGTAAAAACTAATTCTAGTTTCGAGGTGCACGTGTAAGAGTACAAGACTACATGTGTTTAAAATTTGGTGGTTCTAGGTGGCACCGTCTTGCCACACTGCAACGAACGCACTCGTAAATCATTCCTTTTTTGAATAATACGGAAGACTGGAAAATCTTACAACAGCACAAATATCATGAGGTTAAATTCAAAATGCCATTATTTTGATGAAAACAGTTTCAATTCTTGGGAACTAAAGCGTTATTTTGTAAACAGTATGTAAATAAGCGTTATGTTGTCAAATTTTCCAAGACTAGTTTCGATGGTTTTACTACCGAACCATCCGCTTCAGCTGCCAAAGTGCAAATGAACGAGATAAGATAAGACAAACAAATTAAATTAATATATATTAATATAATACATATATTTTTTCTTCTGTTAGGTTACTATGTAATAAAAACTGAATGAATTTAAATTAATTCTGTTTTAAAAATATTAGTATACTGGTAGTAACACGGGCTAAATAAATCGCTATCGAAGGGTACAAGAGTAAGATGGTCCGCAGACCGTTCTAATTTATAAAAATGGTCCCCACTTGAGAAACGCCGGTATCAATGATACACGTGTCAAATGAGGTCACGAAGAAATGTAATTAATCCACTAAATATACAAATTGATAGTTAGAAACTTATTTTGTTTCCCTTGAAAATTCAATTAATCTCCGGTCAATGACGATAATTACTTAGTTTATTGGTAACTAAGTAATTATCGTCATATTTATAATTATCTTAGGTGTAAACATAAAATGGGTTTTCCAGTCCTCACCTCAGAACAGAGGTATCACCGGAACTTAGATGTAAACAAACAAACAATAATTCAATAAAAATTATCACTAAAAGAAATATGTGTTAAAAATAACGCAAAATAATCCTTACCTAAAATGCAGTACTGGAACTAATAACGCGGTGGTGCGGGAACCGGTATATTGCTGAAAATAACCAGAGCGTTGTGAAATGTCACTATCACGAGGAACACGAAGAGAAACTCTAGAAGCTAGTAACTCCACGCTTTCATCAGGAATGGACAGCGAACGAAATTCGCGGGCCTTTGTCCTAGAAGGGGGCAGCAAAACATTGCTTCAGGCACAGATCATTTCTAGAAAACATCCAATGCGGTTATAAAAGAGCACTTACTCAGGAGCTAAGGAATGGGTGACGCTTCCGGCAAACAAAAACACGTTCTCGATTAGAAAGTGTGGTAGAAAAGAAAAGGCAAGTCATAGGGAAAAAGTGGAAATATCCCATCTGGGCAAAGGTCACCAAAAGGATGAACAATGCAATGCGCTAGGTCATACCGCTATAAGAGGATAATGAAATCAAAGACGTCCTTGACCTTTCTTACGTCAAACTAACCGAAGGGCAACTTAAACAGAAGTTCCTCCGTAAATATAGGGTTAACTTAAACGAAATACACACGTTTTATATTATGCAGCAGAAGTTCCGGCGCATATTCCTTTAATTTCCCGGAACAGCATTCTCTTATCTGATAATAAACTAAAAACAATGAAAATCTGCACTTAGGCGTAAACAAGCAAACAATAATTCAATAAAAATTATCACTTAAAGCTATCACCACTTATTATACCATCTTGTGCGGGCATATTCATGCCAACTAAGAGTCCATGGTATGTTCGGAACAGCAAAATTCATGAAAAACTGGGTGTTGCTCCATCACGTACCATCCAACGTACCTCCATCACTAACTTGCGCACAACTTCTTGTCATTAATCCTAAAAATTGTTTCGTCCCTAAATTTTACTGCTAGGTAGTTTTCTAAATTCCAGAAATTTTTTCACCACTAAACTCTGCCTCTCGGTGAGATCACACCGGCTATAAACCTGGCCTACCTGCACATCCTTAAATTCTAAAGATTTTGCCGTCCCTAATTTCTGCTGCCTACTGGCACCCCGTCCGAGTGTTTAGTGACCCTAACTGCTGTGTCAATGTACCCGGGTTCAAATCCCGGAGAAGGCGAGGCTGCTTTTTAGTGTCTGGCGGCAAGGCGGCACTTAATTCCTAAACTTAAAATTGCTGGAGCTCTATGGAAGATTATCAGGAAAAGTGAACAAAAATAAAGTAGTGAATTGCAAAATATTATAATTAAAATAAAGTAACAAGTACAGAGAAAAACAAAAAAAATTTTTAAATTAGTTTAATTAATGGTAAACAATAGAACAATAGATTGAAATATCCGCTACTGGATTTGGCTTTCTGGCTGGAAATATAGTTACACCCGGAAACTGAACTCTGTTGGCTCCAGCTGAATTTATAGTTTATTTAGTTACAACAAAGCACTTGAGAGCTATCTGCTTAAGAGGACGTATGAATTCGTGGAGGACTTTCTAAAGGAAACTGGCTCATGTACACATTACACCACAAAAACGCCCATGCAGTCAGCCCATTCATTTTGAATCACACCCATTTCAAACTACCAGTGTTTGGCAACGCCACTCGAACGCTGGTGGTCCTTCAGTTGAATTTAAGCCTTGACTGATATTTTACAGCATTTCCTCGCATATTTTTTGCTGATTTTATCGTCCGAAACTTTTTTTAACGAATTTTATCGTCCGGGGGAAATTATGCGTGTAATTTAGTTTTCGAAGGGCACGGTTACAGTTAAGAACACTATACGTGAAAAGTAATTAAAGACAAACGACTGTTAACTATCAAAATATTTTTTTCTTTAAAAGAAATCAATAAGAATACATAGTAATATCAGCTTAACAATATCTAATGAGATATCTTCGTTTCTACCTCCTTGTAGAACCTCGCCTGTTTTTATTGTTGACTTTGCTACTTCTCAGGCCTCAAATCATCGATAAATACTTTGAAAAGATAAATAAGCAGCTGACACAGCGAAATCGTAAACTGGATGTCAGTCAGTTCGCGTTTGCAACGCTGTGATGGATCGTTTCTTATGTTAGGTTGCAAAAAGGTCAACAGCTAGAAGGAAAAGGTTCGGCGCGAGTTTCGCATGTATTTTACGATGTTCGTTAGTAAGACGGAAACAATCTCCACGTGGACGACACAAATTTAAAATTAAGGAAGCTTGTTCTCTAAAGGTATTCAGAAAAGAGAAAATTACTCGAATATTTTTTTAATTTTCAGAACCTGGCACTAAAAATCTGGGGGGGGAGGATACACGAGGAAATACATACATAAACTGCTGAAATATACTGAAAAAGAACTGAAAATATTATATATTATTTAATATAATTTTAATGTTTTTTATATTTATGTTTTACATCCGTATGTATTTATATACTGATATTGGAAAGCTCTATCCAAAATTATGTGTCACTTTTTAAGTAGGTTTTATAGAACATATATTCTCAAGTAATATTTTTTTAAGATTTTTAGTTTTAATAAAATTGATATAAATTTGACTTTCTTTGAGTTTCCTATTTTAAGCTAAACCAAAAATATTATCTTGACTGAAAAGTTAAAAATTCATTATTCATTCTGAGTCAATTAGAAGTTTGGGAAAACAGGGGGAACAATACAATATAGCTTTTCGAAGAAAAAATCGGAAAAAAATATTCCAAACAAAACTCTAAGATAAAAAGAGTTTCAGAATCGAAAAATAATTAGACTTCAAAAATTAATTTTGCGAGGGTTTTCGAGCCTGAAAGTTTATTCAAATTGCTGATTTCTCCCCCCCCCTCCAAACTCAGTAAAATCGCATTTGAATGGACAACTCGAATCATGAACACAAAAGAAAGAAGGAAAACAGAAACCAATTATCTGCACCCTTCGGTTTTCCATTCGTTTAAGAAAATTAAACTTATTTTCCATAGCTGGCTGACACATAGCCTTAATTGCTTACAAAACAAAAGAACTCTCAAAGGTTAAAATTTTTTAAAAATTAATTTTAAAAAATCTGAAGGGTTTCAGATTTTGAATTACGTCCAAAGGGGCGTTTTTTTAACATTTTGTGTGTTACCTTTATTTATTAAATATCGTGTTTTTCGCACTTAAACGTTAAAATTCAGTTCAACAGCAATATCGCAAAATAATTTTAAAATGAGCATATCTTTAGAATTTCCGATATAGAGTTCTGCGCACTGGAGATAAAATGGTTTTTTTCCCTTCTCCCGTCTAGTGTTGTCCATTGGCTCGCTTTGAAATCGCTGAGTTTCCTTAATCAAAAATTCGTTCACTTTAAGTTTTACAAAATATGAAACAGATAATAAAACAAATTCCAAATTTGGGGTTTCAGATGCCCATATTCGGAGTGAGGACGTTTCGTTATTCAAAATTATGGATGGCTCTCAGGGTACCGTTGTTTTATCACTTAATGCGAGAAACATACATACATTTATGCAGATTCTTCATTATTTAATTTCTTTAAATATAAATACAGGGCGATAATATTGGGTGGAAACAATTTGAAAAGTGAATCGGACATTTATAGTGAACCAACGTAAAATGCCAAAACGAGTCCTTTAGGGCAAATTGCCCCTTTGGACTAACCTGCTCCCCTAAAAAAAAGTTCAAAGGATAAAAATACGAGGAAGAAAACAAAATACTCCCTCCACAGCTGAAAGCAGCTGGCCTGAGAATAGGATAGACCTCCATTCGAATATGGGCATTCGAAAGCCCGAATATGGAATTTGCTTTATTATCTATTTCACATTTTGTCAAAATTTTTTATTAACAAACTCAAGAATTTCAAAGCGAGCAATGGCAACACCGTACGGAAAAGAAAACATATTCATCTCCAGTGCGCGAGATAGTTTATCGGAAATTCTCTTTTTAAAATTATTTTGTGATATTATTGTTGAATTGAATTTTATGGTTTAAGTGCAAAGAACGTGTTATTTAATAAATAAAGGTAACGCAAAAAAAAGTTTAAAAAAACGCCTCTTTGAGCGTAATATAAAATCTGAAAGCTTTTAGATTTTATTTTTCTTCTGTTAATTATTTCATATTTCAGCTATCTTTGAACTGTTAATTTATAATACTGTTGCGAAATGCCCAGCTGCGGTAAGATAGCTTCCCCGCATGCCAGAAAGTGACAAGGAAAGGCTGAATTGCCATATTTCGGGCTAAATCGCCCATTTGGCAACAAAATCGGCGATATGCCATAGACCGAGCGAGAACCTTTTAGAACGCATTCTTACCAGTTTTCTCGAGAATATTCTCGAAGGTAGGTTAAAGCTACTTGTATCCTGCCTGCACGCGAAGTAGTAGTACTTTGAATTCAGTAGTGTTTTGAGTTCAAAGATTAGCTCGAGAGTGATCGGCCGAGTCGGGAGCTGTACTTAGCGTTTTACCGTGAAGTCGTCTTCACCGTTATATCCTGAAGTCTCTGTTGCCGATAGCTACAACGTATTTATCATAGGTTTTCGACGCTTGTAATTGTTTCTCTGGAAATGTCCTGTTTAATACTGGCGAATAAATTGTGTTTTGATTCTTCATCAAGAGTTATCATCAATTACTCCAAATCCACGAACCCGTAGTACGTAACAATATAAGAAAATTTACACGATGTTCAATTTAAACTTTTTGGAAATATGCACAACATAAATATGCACTGCATACTTTAAGCAAAATTCATACAAAAGCGTGAGCAAAAGACCAGGGAATATATTCATTGGCAAACGTTTTCTATTCCACTTGATTATTATATTATCTTCTATTAAAGGGGGAAGAAAGATATACGCCACGAATAAACATTACCTATTACAAATGAGGAACTGCCTAATGAGGCCTTTTGTTTCAACAACCAGAGACCTCCCACGAGTGTTTGTTGCTGTGATGGTGCAGATACGTCGCAGTTCTGTCCTAATGAGCGATGACATAAGGACAGGTGCAATCGTGCAAACATTCATTTTCAAATGCAAGACGCGCAGTCAACTCAAATGTCGAAACCAGATATTGTTATTTCAACGCCCGATCGTCTGCTACAAAAAATCACGTGTAAAAACATATGACTACGGAAAACATGTGACTATGATTATTAACGGCATTCCGAACGAATATTCGCTGCTGAATTTCTGCAAAAAAGAGATAAA